AAACCTATGAAATCACCTTTTGGAGAGCAGTGAAAATTTGTTTAGGGTGAATAGTGTAAAAATATTAAATGTGATTCAAGAAAAAAAAATTTAAGCAACCACTGGTTCAAACCATAGTTCAAGAACGCCGAAATTGCATAGGTACCTAATTATTTTTCAGCGGCAATTATTTAAAGGTAAGTTATTTTTTGTGCAATCAAATACATTGATTTGTAAATAAATTATACTGGTTTAGTATGATAGGTTATTTATTATCTACATATTTTGTTATACTTATACAGTTTGAGTTATATTACTTATACAGTTTTTAGTCATTATTTATTTTATTAATTTAATAAATATAAATTAAGTATTTATATAGAACCCCCTATTCTTATGTAGTCTCCTTATAGCCTATAGGTATAAAAATATTTGGTAGATATGGTGGGAGCGTTAAAAATGATTCTCGGCACCGGGTGCTAATTATGCTAAGCACGACACGTAAGTCAATCACGTTATAATTGTCAGGAAATGAGAGAGAGGTAACATTTAAGAGCGACATGAACGAAACAAAACCTATTCGTAATTCATAGGATTTGTTCAATTTTCATTTGCTGCCGTGGATGATGAACGATCAATGTTCAACATGATCAAACCACACACAAATTAAGAGGCAAGAACTTTAAATAGTATACGGTTGTATACTGTATGGGGATCCAGTTACCTTTACTGTATTATATACTTAAATGCTAATCAAATCAGCGTTAATTACTAAATAATTAAGTACGACACATATATTTTATACTTAAATAAATGAATTAAACACCAATTATATTTAAATAGACACGTTTGAACTAACTATAGTTAGTTATAACTATAGCACTAAAATCGTCAGATAAAAGCTTTTAGTGCACCAGAAAAGTTGAAAATGATTGATTAATACAATTAATAAAATATAATATTTTAGTAGACATAGATAATATGATTGTTAGGTATAATTTTAACCAAATTCTTTACCGTTCCTGTCGAACGAGTTCTTTCGAACGAGTACTGTACATATACAATATAGTGGATACATTGTTAGGTTGAATCATATGTATCTATACAACTCTTTAGAAACGGACATGCCACATCTCTCTTAAAATAAATTCAAATTTATTATTTTTCAATTTTAAATATTAAAAAATACATCATAAACTTCGGTGCCAATATTATACACACTACACGTATTATAAATTATAATAGGCATTAATGTTTTAAAGTAGTTCACCCATAAAATATTGAATTTGTTCCAGTGAAGTTTTCCCATTATAAATTAATAAAGTGGATAACACTACGTTTCATAATACTTTCTACAAAAACTATTTACTTACAACTTTTTTTTTTGTCTTATTTCAATTACTTTCTTATACCAATCGTAATAATATAAATCAAGTATTAATATAGTCAGTAAATATATTAAGTTTTATTTTTGTAAATGAACACAAATATATTTATATGTCTAAAAAATTGTGTAAATAAACTTTTCATAACAATGAATATTTTATTATTATACGCGCATCGATAGTTTAATATAACAGAATATTACAGTCGAAAATGAAAAAGATTTACAACCGTTTATTATACGAATAAAAATTACCACAGAATCTCAACTTCTAAATGCATAAGATTTAAATCATTACATTTTTTATTTTTACGTAATACGTAATAATTAATTTACTAAATATGTTTATAATGTCGCGAATTTAGTAAATTAATTATTAATCAAGTTGGTAGAATGTTCATTTTATCTATATGTTGATTACCATTGACCGAAAAAAATGTCACCAATAAAACGTCTTTACTATTATACTTTACTATACTATACTTTACAGTATAAAGTATATATTATATAAGTATTATATTTAATTATATTATTTTAAGTATATAAATATTATGCATTACAAAACATATTTACTAGATATATTATCTATATAATTTAAAGTTAATTTGAATTAATAAAGGTAGATAATTAATTCTTCGCAATAAAAGAAATCATAAAAATATGTTTGAAAATTATATAATTAATAATTATTCAATCATTATGGTACCATTTATCATAATGATAACATTTACAAATGTTCTATAAATATTTGATACTTAATAATTTTAAAAATCATATTTAAAATAGTTTCGAAAATATTCTACTGATCTAGAGGCTATAGCCTATTTGCACCCCAGAGTAGTACATTTACGCCCCGAGGAATGTGGACAGATGCGCCCGAAAGATAAGGTACTACCTGCCGATTTATAGCCCATATGCGCCCATTTCACTTATAACGTTGCCATTGTGATTCATAATATAGATTATTTTTATCATGATAAATACTTAAATTAAGTAGATTAGTATATTATTCTATTATAGTAATTATTAATAGGCATTTAGCTGTACTCGTATAATTAATTATTATATAATTATTTATGATTGAACTGTTACCGTAGAACGTACATTTTCTGGGGTCAAGTTTATATGTAGTGACCTAAGATCATCATTACCATCTGATTTGCTCAATGAAATCATTATTATAAGGGCAAATAAGATGGGTATGGAAAATTAATATATTTTTTTAAGTTTAATATTTTATATTTTTATAAATATACATTATTGAATGATACACTATGGAATACACAGATTAATTTTTTTGGTAGTTATATTAAATTTTTCAAGTGTTAAGATTGAACTTTGATTAGAATAGAATGCTTTGTATTTAAATTTTTTTCATGTTTATCAAACTATTATCATTTATTTTATATTCTTAAGTTTTTATGTATCTTAAAGAAAAAAGAGATATAAGTATACTTACTTATGTAGTATTTTCTTTTATTGTATGCCTATTCTTACCTACAGTCACACCACACCAACATGCATAAATGGTTTGTTAAGAGTATTTAAGATTTAAGTTCAATAAAAGAAAATCGGCTGTTGAGAAAAAACGAAAACCCGGTTTAAAAGTGGTTATCGGTAAGTTTGATGATATTGTAGTAGTCCCATTTGTTAAAGTTATTTTGGTAACCGGGAATTGATTACCGCTACTTCTAAAAACCACGAAGACCGGCAATTGGTTCCGAAAAAATTTTCGGGTTCTCTAAACCGGATAACCAATTTTTCCGGGAGGGGTTTCAAACCCTGATTTATTATATTAAAATTCATTTTTATACACTCGCAACTCACGTATCATATTCTAGTTATGGATTTGTAGTTTGTAAAGTTGCACTACGCATACAAGAGAGTGTGACATAAAAATTAAAAATAATTAAAACTGATAAATAATATGTACAATAATATTAACTTTAAAAGGTATTTAATACTAATTAGTATTGCTTGTATTCCAGAGTGCAGTTTGGCAACGTTGTACGGGTTTAATATATTTTTATTAAAAATATTTCGGGCGCAAATGCATTGTAAAAAAGGTGTGATGGACGCAGATGGTTTGCACCGCATGGGGAGGGGGTGGCGAATAGTCGCTGAATACTCGATATAATTCAGGATCGACTTTATGTATAAAAATGTCTTATTATCTTGATAGTGGTCATTACTAAGCCTTACTTAGTCCAGTCACTTTATCACAGCATTTATAAAATTATACACAATGCAAGTAAGGTTAGACTCTAAAATAGAACAACAATGACCAAATATTTTTAAAAAACATGATATAATTAATTTCTAATACTGCGTAAGATGCTAGTGTCATAATAATAGCTATAGACTTATAGGTAATGGTCCAATATGCGACCTACATCATAAATGTAAAATACAAATAATTTTAACTAACCTTTTTTTATTCCACTTCTCAGTGTCGTCAATAAATGTATTGTTCCAGTCCATATTTTTATGAAATGTCTTTTTCATATCGATCAAAAAGTTATCAAATATAGTTTTTTGATTTTGATACAATCTTCACCACTTTTCTCGGAGTTGTTTATCTAGTAAAGGAGACACCCCATTATTTTTAATATTATATTTGGATTTTGTAATTCTCCATAAGCCTTCAATTTCGTCACTTAAGAAGTAACACCGCCTATCTCACTTTTTGGATAAATTGTGTTAGCAATACTGTCTTATTGAAAATTTTGCGCGGAATTCACTGGTGATATCAGATTTAGAATAAAGTCAATAGATAACGAACTAATCGATAAAATGATAACACAACATATCTAAAATTTTAAGATTAAAATTACACAGAATTTAGTTTTTTTGTTCTCCTGTAAAATTGATAAAACTTAGATAGGCGGTGTTACTTCTTAAGTGACGATTTGTTGAGTGTGTACTCCTGTTTCCGGGTCAATAAAAATTCTTAATTCTTAACTGTTTGATGAATATATCCATGATGATTTAATGTTGAGTACGCTTTCCATTGGTCACTATCAATTATCGTTCCACTATTTATTTTTTTATTTTAATAGTTTCTCGGTCCCAAAATACATAAATAATATTCCCATAAATAGAATTAAATCCCCAAAACGACATTAACCGCGGTAAGTTGATCAACACAATCTTATCGGTAGGTCGAGTAACATTTGTAGGTCGCATATTGGATCGTTACCGACTTATACCATGTTCCTGTTATATCAAACTAATACTGTTAAACATTTACTTGGTTACACTTTGACATTCAAATAATAGTCAATATAGTCTCTCTAATAAATGTTACACCTCTTGTATCCTGCTATTCTATTTTTTCCATACCACCAATATTATTTTATTACGGTAAACATAATGATTTAATTTAAATAATAATTTACTGTGAATTCAGCAATAAATTTTACCATATTTCTACTATACCTATATACCATCTATACTGAGACATTTCTAAGTCCATAAATCATAACTTTGTTTAATTTCTTATTCTATATTAAACTAAATGAAAAAATATACAATATTAATTTGTAAAATAATGATAAGTAATTATTAATTATAAAAATTATAGTTAATGTAAAATTACAATCACATAAATAAGTAATCCAAAAATATAAAATATAAATAATTGTTATACATTTTTATTATTTTATAAAAAAAATGTGTACAAAATGTTATTTTATAAAAATTATGAATCATCTAAAATGTTGACTATAAAACAACCAACAAAAGTTAACATTATCAGACTACTTAAAGATATTTTTTAATGATTTCATTCAAAAACCAATCTTCGGAAAACTGAAGGTGATCACCAGGAACAGATAGAAAATGTAATCTACCACTTTCTTCTAAAATTTTTAAGCCAAGCCGATCCTAAAATATAAATAAAAATTTACAGAGTAAAAAAAATAAAATTATAGGTATGCAACTATGTTAAATATTTGTCAATAGTAGATAAGCTATTATAGTGCATATGCATATATGTAGATTGTTATTTTGAAAAATTACTACATTTGTAGAGAAGTAATATAATTATTTTAAACATATAAATTCAATCATGATTTGAAGAATAAAGTGATTAAAAAGACTAAGATAACAGTGCTGCTCCAAAAAGTTTTCAGTTAAAAACCAACCTAAGGTAAATATAAAATATACTATCAAGCTTTCCATGAAAAATATAAATCTAAAAATACCTACCTACTAATTAATATTAAATTCTTACAAATAATCAAATGATGATCCAAGCATAAATTCAAGGAGAGGAGCAAGGCAAAGAGGACGCATAGCGCTTAATCCTTCAAAAAAGTTTTTGACATATATGACAAAAAAAGCTATTTAATTATTTTTTATTGATAATTGAAGAATCCTAAACTTTTTGTCTACTAATAGAATAATAAAAACAATTTAAGTCATACAGATCCAATTTTAATTAATTGTACAAACAAGTCACATTTCAATAATTGTATTGTATTTTATATCAATAGATAATATGATCCAGTTTACTGTAATAAAAGTTATCAAAACATTTTCTTCATAACTGCAGGAAATCATTAACCATTATGCATCACACTTTGTCTAAGTAATTTCCGTGAAGGAAAAAATAGTTCTTTATTAGTAAATTCTAAGTTTAAAAATATAAATTCTGTTCATGAGCAATTAAATCATTTAGATTAAAATTACTATCCAATACATGAATAATTTCTTAAAAATTAAGTTATATTATCAATTTCTATCGGAAAAGTAAAAAGAAGTTTTTCTTATTTAGGGTTGTTTAAAACTTGGTTGAAGGCAAGAATAGGAAAAGAAATGTTGACAAGATTGATTCTTATGCAATACCAATAAAGATATAAATATTGACAGAGAAAATAACATAAAAATTAACAGATATTCTAAAGAAAAACAGTGAAAATTTGACTTTGCATTATAAAAATAAAGTATACTAATAATTTGTAATACCATAATATTATGTGATTTCATTCCTTAAATGTTTATAAAATTTAACTTTATTCCTAATGATACACAGTAGCGTAGATACAATTCTTTTCTGGGGGGGGGGGGGTGTTTAAGAGTAAGTTTTTAAGTGTTCGTAGTATATCTTAAAACGAGATCATATATAATATTACATTTAAAATAGTGTTATTATGTCCCGTATTAATGAAAATTATTTTGTTATTCAATTTTTAATATATACCTAATCATAGTAAAATCAAAATATTTTACTATAATATATAAATATTAATAAATAATAATCAAATATCAATAAAAAAAAAATCTGTGGGGGGGTGGAAACCCCTTACACCCTGCCCGTAACTACGCCACTGATGATACAACTTAACAAAGGTGAGAAAGTTAATGAAAATAATTAACTCGAGTTAAGTTAAATTAAGAGAACACAAGATCTATAAGTTAAAAGTCAATAAAGAAAAAAATATTAACTTAACTCAGTTTAAAAAAAGTTAATCTACTTTTTTTAATTAGTATGTAGATCAAATTAAAAGTGACTGTCTTAGTAAGGAGCAACTCACTACCGTATTTATTTAAATTTATAGTTAAAATTCTTTATACATAACATTCTATATCCACGGCCAGAACTCAATACCCAAAGGTGAGCCCCCAACCTACAAAATCTAATATGACCTCTGATTATATAGTGTATGCAACCATTTTACTTTACATGTTTATTTAATTTTTATATTAATATTTTTAGTACAAACAAAAAATTTCAAAATTTTTTAACTTGATAGATCATTTTTAAATCAACTGTGAAAAGCTAAGTTATTTCAACTACCATATTAACTAATTAAGTTAAAAATTTTATTAGAAAATAAACTAACTAGTTAATTTAGATTGTTAAAAAAAAATTAATTTTTTAACTTAACTTTTTAACTAGTTAAGAGGACGTGATTCCCTCCAATTTTTAGTATTAAAACATACCTACGCAAAATTACAATTACTCGTTTTCTAGTAATTTAAGAGCAAAAACACCTATTATAAGATCTAAAATTAACAACATTTTGAAGAAAATGACATATCCTTTTTTTTAAATAACATATAACAAATAAATAACAAAGTTACAATCGTTTAAAAAAGTAAAAAAAATTATTTCCAAATGTTAGATTGTGTTCAAAATATTAAGTTAATTAATAATCGGATATGACATTTTCTCCAAAATGTTGTCTACTTTAGATTTTATAATAGGTGTTTTTTCTCTTAAATCACTAGGAAACGAGTAATCGTAATTTTGCGTAGGTATGTTTTAAGTTGTAATTTTTAATTTATATTGCCGTTGTGTGCTGCCACCTGCATGTCAATATGACGGCTGCCACGATTTTCTCCCACTACGACAAAAAGAACTGTTGGAAAGCCGGGATAGCAACGTTCGCACCGACCCATCTTTACAGCATACCACATACATCTTATTTGTATATATATTGATTATAAGCCCCCTGTGAAAAATGTCTGGATTTGCCCCTGTGATGATCCAACAACTAATCATTTATATATAATTATTAATGTTTAAAAACAAAAATTTAAGTCTTCAGGTATAGATATTTGAATAATAAACCATTAAAATTTACTTATGCTATTAGGACTTAAAATTGGTATGAAGAATTTTTAAGTACCAAGCATGGAAAATGTTTCAAATTACAAAAGCATATAACCTAAAATCATGAGAAAAAAATGCTAAGGAAAATGTAGACACCAATGAAGAAATCATAAAATATAAATTTGATAACCAAAAACTTGCAGTACAACTTTTACAAAAAAAAATAAAAAAAAATTACTACAGATAATTATAAATACATCTAGTAAGAAATTCAATAATATTCATGAAATTATACCTACAGAAATTTAATAAGCACACCTATAATTTAATTAACTATTACTTTTATTTACAATAAGATATATTGCAGATTGTTCCAGTGGCATAATTTCTTTATCTTGACCTGGTGTATAGAAAGCAAACCACTCACTTTCTTTTGGAACAACCATTGTATCATTGGTAAACATAACCAAGACAAAGTTTTTTAATTTAAGTAAATTATCACGATAACTTTTGTTGATAACACGTTCATTGTTTAAGTCAGCTAAAAAGTGACTGCCTTTGATGTAATCTGATTCTTTAATAGGATCATGCCAATATTCTGCTTGAACAAATATATCTTGTACCCAACTAAAAAATTATTAATAATAATATTGTAAGAATGACAATGAAACCAAAATAATGTTGTACAAATTAAAAATATATATTTAATAACAAGAATAAATAAATCAAAAATTTAAGGTTTTACCTTACATAAGCTTCCTTGTTCAAAAGTAATCTCACATATTCACACCACTTGAAACTAGAATAAATGCATCTTGGCATTCCAAAAACTCCCTGATGTTGACCACCAATAGATATAAGATTTAACATTGGTGGGTCAGGACATTTTTGTGCAACCGCTCTCCTGAAAAATTATACTTTAAAAATTAATAAATTGATTTTATAGTAATAAGTTATTTTATTTTACAGAAATTGAGCTCCTTGTGAAAATCCAATAGCATTATAACCATTAGCCAACTTTGGATCCGCAGCTATTTGTTTACAAGCATCCACAACTTGAAGATTTATATTCATAAAAAAACTGTTTTTAACATCCTATATATAGTTTTTAAATATTAGTATTAGAAATGAGCATGAAATCCAAAGATCTGAATTTTCTGAATATCTGGATATTCAAATCAAAATTTAAATCAAATTCTTATCCGAATTTTCCAAAGTATCCCGATTATTCAGATTTATGGATTTGCTTTTTATGTAAATTTTAAAATTACATTTAAAAATTAAAATATAAATTTGACACTAAATGTAAATTTTTACAAAACCTGTTCGAATGATTTTCCAATTTGTAGAGACTTCACATAAGAATTAGTTCCTAAGTTTTTTTGCAATATCTTGATAATTTTTCCAAGACTAAATGGGTTACAGCAACTGTCACCTAAGATCAAAAAAACAATAAAACAAAATGAATTACTAAATAATATTTAAAGAAACATTTTATTAAACAATTTTTAGAAGAAATATAATTAATAGGGCAAAGGACTTCATGCCCTTAAAAACCTTAAAATATATATGCATTTATACCCTAAAGCATGGGTGGGCAACTGGCAGTCCACGGGCTGAATCCGGCCCGAAACCCTTCTAATCTGGACCATGCTATATTTTCAAATAACATCATAAAATTTTAAAGTTTTTCGTCTATCTTATCGATATTATAATTTTTATCTGGTATTAAACATCGTTAAGCGTCTAAATATCATATGTAAGTATATGTATAGCCATTGATTATAAATAATATTATTTATAATCAATGGTATAGTTTTCAATCATAGGTGTTTGTACATAAATGTTATTTAAAATTAATATTTGAACGATCTTTTTTAATTCTTTTATTTTGTATGCTCTGGCCCGCTTGATTTTAATTTTCTAAAAGTTGGCCCTCTAGTAACTTTGAGTTGCCCATCCTGTCCTAAATAATTAATAAATATGCTATTAAAATATGCATTTAAAAATTTATATTTGTTATAATTAATTATAAAAAAATTTAATTAATAATAAATAATAATAATAATTTTAGGTATGATAGATATGATGATCTGAGATAATTATTTTCTTTTTTTCAAATTTATTTTCATCTTATATTGAGTTTTTATCTAAAACAACAAATTTAAAATTGTTTTAATAATAAATTAAATTAAAAATATTTTTTCTATTTTTAATATATTTCTAATTACCTTGAGTATTACATTGGACTATAAGATATTTTCTTAAGTTGGGAAATTTAAATAACTGCCTGTTATCAGCCAAAATATTTTTATAATTAGAAAAGGAACGTTCCACGTCTGCAGAACTTATTGATGTAAACTTAAAAAATAGTAGGTCACTACTACTAATATCTGCAGGCAATCCATAGATTCATTATCCATTTAATATAAAATTTTTTATAGTTGATCAAATCCAATCTTTTTCTCCAAAACTTTTTTAATTTTGTCATCAATTGCCTTAGCTTGTGCAGATCCTTCAAATTTTACAGAATTTATATGTTATTTTATAGTTTTAATTATTTTAATGGATTCAGTTAGTGCCACACCTTGGGTTTTAAGTCGAGTGATATAAATATATAAATCCATAATTTTTTTTTTTTAATAAAATTAAAAAACTTACTCCTTCACATAAATCAGAGGTATTCAAACTTTTTCATCCCAAGGCTTCTTTGAGTCTTCGCAAAATGTTGACGGCTCCCAAATTATAAATAGCAAAAAAAAATCAATGTTTATATGAATGTAATTTTTTATTTTATAATTTATACTAATTATTTATTTACCATTTTACATTTATAAAAATATTATAAATAAATAGTTAGGTATTGTAGAAAACATAGTAATACAATATTTTATGTTTAGTCTTAGTAAATATAAATTAATAAAATAACTAATCAATATTACTTAATACTAAATTTTTAGTGAGATGGATGCGCTTGTATATATATGTTCAAATCGTGGCTCAAGTTTGGAAATAGCTATTCTTATCTCCTTCTCAACATTCACTTTTGACCGATATTTTATTTTAATTACAGCTAACGCAGAAAGCCCGGTCTCACAGAAGTACGAAGTTGCAAAAGGTGTTAAATTTTTCAAAGCTTTGGTGGCCAATTCGGTGTATTATAGTTTCACATGCGTCCAAAATTGTGTTCACGGCGATGATCTGAACATGGTCTTCACTGTGGAATCTGATGTTACATCGACCCACTGTTCTTGTTCAATAGATGACAAATTTGTTGGAAGGTCAGCACTGAAGGGATCTTTGATCCAATTTTGTTGTTGAGTGTTTTGTGGAAAATAGTTTTCGAAATGAATTTAGAGGTTTGATAAGTGGTCAATGAACTCATTTTTGACGATCTCATTCAAGTTCCTATAATTTTCTTTTAGAAATGTATGGAGCATAGGAAAGCGGTCATTAAAAGTGTCCTCTTCTATTTTAGTCTTCCATAAAACTAATTTTCTTTAGAAATCCGTAATTTTATCAAGAAGCTCAAATATGTTGGTTTTATTTCCTTACAACGATTATTTAATATATTTAGCTTTGAAAAAATATCGGAAAGATATGACAATTTTGTGAGAAAATCAGTGTCTTCAAATTTTTTATGGTATTCATGGTGGTCTAAAAGAAAAAGATGAAGTTCTTTTCTAAGCTCGAATACTCTTGCTTCTACATTTCCACGTGAAAGTCATCGAGAATTGCAATAGTAAAGTAAAGAAGTGTGCTCAGCTCCCATATCAACACACATTTGTTCGAAACATCTGGATTTCAACGAACGGGTTTTGGTTAATGATTTTAATAGTTGATTGTAATACCTCATCAAGAGATGGATTGATAGATTTTGAAGCAAGAGCTTCTCTATGAATTATGCAATGTGTCCATACCGCATATGGGGCTTTATTTTTTTAATGAGAGCTTGAAGTCCGTTGTAACATCCTGACATGGAACGAGATCCACCAGTACAAATACCACAGCACATTTCCCATATTAAATTATTTTCCGTAATGAATGAATCGAGCATTTGGAACAAGTCTACTGCTTTAGCTTGACTTTAAATAGTTCGACAAAAAAAGAAGATCTTCGTGAAAAACGCCAGCGTCTATAAACCTCACGTAACAGATTAGGTGGCCATCATTATCATTATCAGTGACTTCGTCCAGTTGTAGAGAAAAATCCTTGCCTTTTCATTTATCTATCAACTAATCATTAATATCTTTAGCTAAAAATATTTATTGGTTTTCAATTATATGGCATGGCTTCCTTCGACAACTTCCGCGACGCCCCTGGGAGCCGCGATGCACAGTTTGAATACCTCTGATATAAATAATTGTCAAATATGCAGTTATAAAATTAAAAATGGTAAAATATGCAAAATATGCAACTATAAATGTTAAATATAAACTTGTATTGCTATAAAACAAATTTCTATATTACTTAGCTATGTTTTCTTATGATTATTTAAAAACCTGCAAATTCCTAGAAGTCCTGGGGCCTAGTAATTAAATTCTAGGTTCCTTCTAAAAATGGTTTTCTTTTTGTATATTGGATACATGAAATATTTATGGTCAGGTAGTATACCAAATTTATAGCAATGAGTTTTCCAAATTTGAGTAGCTTACCCCTAAGATTAGTTCAAGGGATCTATTCAAAAAGGTTTGGACTTAAATTTAGTACCTAAATTCAAAAACCTCACAAAAAAAAGAACTAGTAAGTGATGTTACTCTGACACTGACACATCAGCTTCTTATATTAAGTCTAATCAAATCTATAGACAGGATAAAGCTTCCAGTACCAGAGTAAAATACCAAAAATGAGAGCTACACCGGAAGGATTTAGTCCATCATGTGAACAATCTATTTTGCAGTCAAATGGTTGGAAAGTATGTTGCACTAATCACTGATATAACTACATTTTACATACAAACCATATTCTGAGACGACTAACCAACAGCTCACCCACCGCAATGATACAAAGACATGAAAAACGTAACTTACGCGAGACGATTACATCCAAGATTTCTAACATTTTATTTATAATAAATAAACCTTGGAATATACTGAAATTCAGAATTATAACCAGCTTCGAATTCGTCAGTAAAAGCCCAATTCCAAATTTCTGTTAAAAAAATCATTAAAACCCGTAGAATCCAATAAAATTATTAAAATAATTCAGTTTTATCACTTAATTTGACTTAATTTATTAGGTATGACTCAATTTTGAAAAATGAATAACTTCCATGAGTTATTAATATTTTTACAGTTCATATAATATTTATTGATGACAGTTATAGGATGGAGTTATAAATACATAATGAAACACAAACAAAATTTATTTAATCTTCCGATATGTATAAAAAAATAACAAAAATAATCAGTTAGGTATAATGAAATAAATCAAAACAATTTATTTCTATATTGCAGCATAAAAAACATCACACTACGTGAATGACTGAAATTTACACCCTGATATTTTACATATGCGTCAATTTTTTCCAAATTTAATTCTGTATTGATCATCCAAACGTATTTGGGTTGATGGAATTGTCGCTGTGGCCATTTTTTTATTTTTTCATGTTCCTCAAGCATTTGTTTTTATAACAATTTCTTTGATTTTTTGCCTTTTTTTTTAATTTCTATTGATGATAGACACAGTTCCACAGCTAACTGCTCTCGAAATTGAACTAATTTTATTGGTTTTTTTGTTACTTATTTATACAAAAACCATGCGTTTTCAATAGACATATCAACCAAATGGTAAAATATTATCATGTACTATTTTTTAAACCTCATGATCATTCTATAGTACCTAATCAAAGAATCCATGATATCAACCTCATCAATATGTTTATTGTAAACTTTAATGATTTTCGGCCGAGGTATAAGAAGAGAAGGCTTTTTATTTTTTGTCAAATCAACTCACTACATTTTTATTGAGTTCACCTATAAATATTGAGGCTACATGTACTACCTTGTTATCTTTCCATGCCACAGCTGAAAAAGGGACATTTTCTACTACTATAAAACACTTTTCAGAATATCCATGACATTTTTTTATCGTTATACGATAATCTGACAAACCGACGTTAGGAAAGTAATTACATCTGAACGTTCCAACTGAATGAATGCCTTTTTTTTTCTAGATACCTATTTTATAACTGGTAAAAATATGTAATTGTAATCAAAAAATAACTTATGGTACAAGTTTTCCGGTATCATTCTATTAATTTTCATAACAATGTTACCTGTAGTTCCAAAATTTGATTCATTGTATATAATTTATTCATCTTCCTATTTCCATTTCCCGTGTTAATTTCAAAGTTATAACCATAGCCAGAAACACCATATTAAACAAGTAATGTGTACCCCCATTTATGACATTTAAGAGGAAGATACTGTTTAATAAGATATGATATAGCTACAGTTGGACACAATTGCTCATCTAATGATTATTAGATAATTATAATATAATAGATAATTAATATAAATAATTATATTACCTATTATTCAATAGGTATAGACATGAGCAAAACTAGAGCCCAAATATTGAGGGTACTGAAATTGCTGAAAATAAAATTAATAACTCGGCGGTTTTATATAATATAATATTACTATTATAATTTGATAAGATTCTTATTAATATTTTTCAATAATAAATTAATAATTTTTCCTAAAAAGTAGTATATACATTGAAAAATTCTAAAACTTTTGTTTTCACCGTCGAAAAATTGCCAACCCCTTAACCCAACACTGACCACGGCACCACCCTAAAAATATGGTCAGACTTGAACCACAAGTTCCAATTATTTTACCCTAAAATTTCAAATAATTTTTAAACATTGACAAAGAAAATAAACCTATTGCCAAATAAAAACTTAAAACACCTAGGTATTTCCAAAAATAAAACGACCATCTTTTTAAAAAAAACCAAAAAGCATCCTAAGATTGGAGCAAAAGCAAAAATTAAAGCGTTTAATATGCAATTTTTTATTTTTGAGTTCATAATTATTTATTTACATGCCTTGATTTAAAAGTATGTTTACTTTCATGACAATGAAATCCGAAATTGATAATGTATTAGAAATAAAAATAACTACTTCAAAAAATAATATTTTTTAAACTACTGTTCTAATAATTGTAATTTTAGACCTCTCAAATATATATATATATATATTTATACATAATTTTTAGTACAGTGTCATACTTCATTAAATATAAAATCTAATTGTTTAATCATAATTATTATAGTGATGTCTAGTATTAAATTTTTCAAATAATGTAAATAAAATCAAACTTAATAACTATGGCAAATTGTATATAATGTACTAATATTTCACAACAACTTTAACAATAAGTAATAATAATAAGTAAATAAATAAATGAATAGTAATAATAGGTAACTGCATTTCAATTAAAAATTGTATTTTATTCATTTATCTTACCCATTCCATGCCACAACACCACTGGAGGAGAATCAGCGTTGATTAAGTTAATTCGGTCAATAAAAACCCAGATTGTCAAACATATTAAAACAAAATTGTTCAGGTAAAAACCTTTTTGATGCATAATATGAGATAAAAATTTAATTTAACTTTTAAGAATTTAAATTAATTCTTAAAATTTAATTTAATTAAAATAATAAATGTGTATAATAAATCTAAAAATTACATTTGTATTCTTTTTTTATTGCGTACGACCAATTACAATTGCAGCTATTTATTTCAATTGTACATATAAAAACGAACTATAAACCAAATCATTAATATATAGAAAAAGCAAATTGCAATTTCGGAATACCTACTGCAAATAATTCAAAAAAAAGACAATAATTATCACAGATTATTAGTATAAATTCATAGGTTGAAATATGATAAGCGATTAGTTACCATGAAAATCAACCATGGTGTAAATTCGTCATTATCAAGGAACGGTTTTTGTTTTCCGTTTTTTATGGGTGATTCATGTTTTGATTATAATGAGAAATTTTAATTCGTATTCATATTTTGCCTACCTTGTTAAATTTTTTTATTTTTATGATTTTATATTAGTGTTTTTTTATTAATTGTTCATATTTAGTAATATTAAACAAAATCATTTAAGAATATTTCAACATATAGATTTATTACAGTTTGCTCTAACAATATTACGTTGTCGGTTTATAGTCCCAGATGCTTTTTTCATAGATGTCACAATAAGATAGTATACTTAATCCAATATAAAAATTGTTTTCACTGAATAATTCACAAATATAATGGCTAAAGAATATGATCATCTGTTTAAATTACTAATCATTGGAGACAGTGGTAAGTGTATTAACATTGTCAAAAACTATCTTCTAATCAAAACACCAATCACCATCATTATATATATATATGTTGAAGTAATTCCTGTTGAAATGTATTTTAATTTTTAAGGTGTTGGTAAAAGTTCATTACTTGTTCGTTTTGCCGATAACACATTTTCTGGTAGTTATATAACAACTATAGGCGTCGACTTCAAAATTAGAACAGTCCTAGTTGACGGAGAAAAAGTAAAATTACAGATATGGGATACTGCTGGTCAAGAAAGATTTAGAACAATCACATCAACGTAAAGCGTAGAATATTTTAATTAATTTGAAAACTAAAAATCTATACTTTTATAAATATTTTATTTGCAGATATTATAGAGGAACGCATGGTGTTATAGTTGTATACGATGTGACCAATGGTGATTCGTTTGCTAATGTCAAACGATGGTTACATGAAATAGATCAGAATTGTGAAGTTGTCAATAGGATATTAGGTAAATAACATAATCTTTAAATTATCAATTATTTAATAATTATCTTATTACTTTAATATTTATATAAAATATGTACATATTGCTTACCTATATAAGAGAATTTTAATTATAATTTTATATTAATAGTAAAATATTCTATTGTTATAAAACAATTTTACTTAAAGACTATACATTTACAATACTTTGAATAAATAATATTTTGTTTACACTTTTCATACTTAACTACAATTGAGCAATAATGTTATTTTGAATGCAGCATTACAATTTTATTCATATTAATAAATTAATATGAAATTATATAGGTACATTTACATTAACAAATACATAAAATAGAAAAAAAATATAGATATTTTTTTAAGTATAATATTTTAATTTTATCAAGAAATTAGTTTATGTCTATATATATAACTGGAATTAAGTTTTTTTTTTCGTATGAATATATGAGACCATAGGTTTATAATTTCAATAGGTATCAATTAATGTCCGATACCTATTCAATATACAGTAAGTAAATTAATTGGAAAGTCAGTATTTATTACTCCTAATATAATGCAGATTGAAGTTCCATTTTTTTTTAACATAATATGTGACTTATAGACCATATTTTACCACGGTTAAAAAAAATACAAAATTCAAAACCACCAACAATTTTTTTTTGATTTTTCAAAAAAAAAAAAAGTTTTGAAAAATTTTGAATATAGCCACTTAATAGAATTACTTATAAGTTACTCAGAGAAGAAAAATTGAAATCTGTTGAATTTTGAATGAATGAGAGCATTTTATATTTTCAAAAAATACAGCAAATTGTAAAATTGTATGGTTTTTAAACTTTTAAATAGATAACTAATAATATGATATTAGATAATGAAGTAGGTACACACAACTCATTCATTCAAAATTCAACCAATTTCAACATTTTTTTTCTCTGAGTAACTTATAAGTAATTCTATAAAGTGACTATTTTCAAAATTTTTGGCGGTTTTGAATTTCGGATTTTTTTTAACCATGGTAAATGATGGGCTATAAATTACATAATATGTTAAAAAAACAGAACTTCAATATCTGCATTATATTAGGAGTAATAACTACAGACTTTCCAATTAATTTACATACTGTATAAGTAATTAATTTGTATAACTTCATTTTTTCATTAATTTGTTCCTGAAAAATAATCTAATGTAATCATAACTTTTTGCTATAATTAGCATAATTTTAAAATTGACTTATGGAAATATTAAATTGCACATAAAATTATATTTTTTTTTTCAGTTGGAAATAAAAATGATGCTCCAGATCGAAAAGTAGTGCTCACAGAAGATGCTCAACGATTTGCTGATCAAATGGGTATTCAATTATATGAAACTAGCGCCAAAGACAACATTAATGTTGAACAGGTAACAACTATCACATAAATATTGACTTGTTTTGTTTGACTATGAAAGTAAACATTATACCAAAAGATATTAATGATTATATTGTATATTATTTATGATTGATAATTTAATTGGATTAATAATTATAATTACTTGTAATTATTATAATAAGTTTTTGTTACAATATAAAGATTTAGTTTGGATTTGGTGTACTAGTTCCTCCCAGGTCTAAATTTAAATTATTTAAAATTTTATAAAGTATCTAAATATATATCTGTATAAAAGTAATTTGATATTAAAAGATATAGCATATATAAGAAATATTAAAATCAATGATTAGCCGTCTGATTTCTTCTCATATGAATGTTTTAACTTTCTCTTTTTTCCTTAAAAGCCATATTACCTTTTTGTTTCTATAGTATTTGATTCAATTATTTCTCCTTTCTAAAATTAATAGTTATGTTAAAGTCAAACGATACATGTATTTATTTATTTTATATAGCATAACCTAATATTATATAATATTATATAATTGTGGTTCATTCTTCCAATTGACTTGTAATAAGTTTTTGATATTATTGGAAATTATACCGCATTAAATTATGTAATTGTATTTTTAGAATAGTATAATTCAAATTTAGTTATGAATTCATCAATGTACTTTAGATTTATACTATATTCTAATACCTTTAAAATCAAATGGTGTAAAAATGTTGTATACTATTTTCATTAAATAATTTTACCAATTAAAATTAAATTAGAATATTTATTATGATATATATAATTAAAAAAAAAAAAACTATAAATAATAATATAGAGCTTATATTCTATTTTGGCCTTAGATGTAAGAATACAATTATAGTTTTATATTAATTAATTATTATATTATTTATTATATTAATCAATTACAATTATAAATTATAAGTTACAGTTGAAAATCTATTTAATAATTTACAAATGAATTGGATTAAAATTCTTAAACCTATTAGTTAAAATAAATATTTATTACTTTGATTGATATTTTAATAAATTACTTTTTTAAATTACGACTTTATTTTAATATTAAAAATTAGTAATATATTACATCTATTATGTATATAAATATTAATAATATATAATATATAGAATATAACCTATGACTTGTGATATTATTATAGTTTTGTTTTTAATTTATTATAAAAGATTAAAATGTATAACATAATTGTGATACAATTGTAATTGAATAACAAACATTTAAATTTTTTTATGCCTTTTTAAAATTAATTTACTCATGATTACCTATTTTATTTTGTAGATGTTCATGTCTATTACTAAACAAGTATTGCGAAACAAAAAGGAAACTAAGGAACGACAAGCTCATCAAAACAATGATGTAGTGAATTTAAGAAAAGGTCCCTCAAAAGGAGTAAAAAGAAAATGTTGTTAAATCCATTTGTTGCTGTAAGTTTTCAGTTTTAAGCTATAATTACATTTATAAATTTTTTTCTCTTATATTTTGTTACCACATATACATTACTATAATATGTGAACTCACTAAGCTCAACATTATTCTTTCACATTGATAAATAAAAATTACTCTTATTTTTTTATTAATACCTGCCAATATGTTTCTACATATTAAAATATTGGACCCCATTTGATCATTATCATGTTGTCAATATCTATTATGTCATTCCTTATATTTATGTTTTGTTTCTGATTTATTTATGTCATTACAATATCATTAGTAAAGTATAAATTAAATATGTTTATGTCTTGCCTTTAGAACATTTATAGCTTTATGAAACGTATATTGTTATGCTCTATTATTATAAATTATAATTATAAAGTATAAATGTGATATGTTAAATTAATTTAAATAAGTTATATAATTTGATCTAAATATTTTACTTTGTAAGCATTTCCTGTAAATTATAAACTCAATCCAATACCATAATTCAAATATTGATAAATATTTAGTGTCAACATTTATAATATTTTATTATTTTCACAGTTTTTTAAATAATAAACTTAATGTGGATTAAAAAAAAATTGTTTACATTTGTTAACAATTTTATTTGTGCATTGTTTTTTTTTTTTCAGAATCTAATCATAAAAATTGATAGTTAATCTTCTAAATATTATATACACCATACTATATGAATTTGTTTGTATTTCCAAATTAATTTGGCTTAAATTATTGTTATTTACAATTAAAAGTATTACAAAAAATGTATTCACAATTCAAATATTATTTAAAATTTAAATTGTGATAAATTTTACAGACATTTTATAAGTGACCAACAAAAATGTACTACTTATAGTTATGTGATATTACATTTTCAATTACATTTATCAGTCTACCATAATGTATGCCCATATTTAATTAGTAAATCTTAATGAAATGTTTAATATTATTTATATAGTTTAAATAATTACAATGTTTTGTCTAATGACATTTTGATAACTTTAAACTATAAAAATGTATTATTATTATTGAATCATGCACAAATACTATAATTCTCTTCCCATACATTATTTCAATATTATTTCTTAAAGATTTCCTTATACTAAGTATATTAATTTATATTATTAAATATTTAATAGTTGTAAATATAAAATTTAACTAAAAACTACTATAAATTAAATTAAATATTAGTGAATATGGTGTTCAAAAATAAAATTTTAAAAATCGGTATTCGTAATAAAGTGTATACCATATTTAATCTTTAACAATATTAGCTTTGATGTATTATCACTAATCAGATATTTTAATATGCTTTTAAGTTTTAGCAATAATGTATTGTGTTGTTTTAAATAATAAAGCCCTAAAAAAGATAGCAGTAGAAAAAAAATTAATTTGAGTTTACATTATTCAATAAGTTACAACACTCGTTTTCACACTAATTACAATTTATGTTGACCAATAATTATAAAAAAATTTGAAAATTTAAGATTTTTATTTAATTGTTTTATACTGTCTTCCATTATGTATATGTAAATATTCAATTATATATATTTATATATATTCTAGTAGATAGTCTGTGATGTTATACTTAATTGAACATAGATAAACTATACATTTTGTTTGATTTTATATTTACATTGTATGTAAATTTAGAAAAATTTTATCATAATCCATAGTCAATATAATATAATTTAAATAGTACATTTTCATTAACTTTTTTTTTTCGAAAAATGTTTCAACTAAACCGAAGTTATAGTTCTTTAATTATTTACCATGTTTTTTTTAAGCCCCATGTCGATATGTACCCAATTCAATATTTAAAAATAATTAAATAAGCGTACATAAATTAACAAGTTGATAAAATTAAATCTTTTATAAAACCAACTATTAAAAAAAAAAATACAATTTCTGGTACACAATATTCTTATATGTTATTAGACTTTGGGCAAAATAATATTTAAAAGTATTTTATTTAATAGAAGGGTTGTATGAAAAAAGAAAACAGTACCTAAAGACTCTTACTTCCTACAATATCAGTAGTCTTGGAGCTGTAGGTTTCTTAAAAAATAATTTCTGGTTTTAAAATGTTCCTCTTGTGTTAATTGTATTTCTATACATTTTTAAACATAAGCATTGCTATTCTTAACTTAAAACATCTTTTAATATATTTTTTATTAATTATTATCTATGATTCATACAAATTTCAAAATATAAATTAATTAGATATAAATAAATTTAATTATTATTTCATATAACCTTCAACTAACCTAATATATAATTTTATATAATTAATTTAGTCAATACAATTTATAACATATTTAGATTTTCATTGAACTAGAACTAAATAAAAAAAATTGATTTTTTTTAGATAAATGTTATGTTACTTTAAAGAACTAAGATTCAATAAATAATATCATTTAAGATGATGGTATATACATTCTTATCAATAAATCAAAGTTCAGAATATTTCTACTGAGGTTAGTGATTTCTATTTGTATAAATATGACTTTATTATTCTTTCCGAGTATAAAATTCTATAATACTCATTAAACATAATTATAATAATTATATGGACTTATTTATTATAAATTTATCATTCCATTTATTTGCTTAAAATAATTAGTACACATTTTGGATTTCAGTATTCATAATTAGATTTTAATTTTTAATGTAATTAAATACCTTTTATTATTTTCAATTTTCAATTTATATTTAAAAATAATGAATACATTTAAATTTATCACATTACTTATAAAGAGTTATTTATAAAAAAAAATTTATTTTTTAAAAATAATATTAAATTACTTTAATATGTAAAAGTATAAGCTTATGTTAAACATTTCTTGACATAAATAATTATTCATTTTTAATCAAACAATTTATAATTTAAAAAATTCAAGTTAATCTTTACATAATATTCAGTGGTGTACTAATTATAATATACTACAAACTAATTTAACATAGCTTTTAAATAACAAAATTCTACTTTGATAAAATTAATATTTTTAAACATATTTTTAAGAAAAAATCTAAATAATTTAAATTTAAATGTAAAAATAATGTATCTTACAAGTTTGTTTTAATTTACCCTTTGATGAATAACAATATTATAATCCTTTCAATAATTTAAAATAATCAAATAATTTTATAATGCAATGTATATTAAATATTTTAAATATTTAAATACTTTTTTTATGTATACAAATTTTGTAACTGTTCTATCATTTTAAAGAAAAATGGTATTTGGTACATATTTTTACTTGGAAAGTATAATAAATTTATTTTTGATTCAACGGTAAATTATATTTGGTATTATATAAGTAAACTATTGTATCACATAAATATTGTATTCGAAAAATATTATTCATTATTAATTAATTATTATATTATCAAACCACTAATTGTACATTGTTTAAATTATACTTTGTTTTTATTATGAGGATTTTATGAACCCACTATTGAAATTGATTGTGATGAAATTAGATTGATTTTGATAGTAAAATAAATAATTTTCATAAATCCAATTTTTTTCTACTAATATTCTTCCTAATTCAATAGTTTCCTTTGATACATCATACAAAATAATTAAATAATTTATTTAGGTTAGTTAAAAACCTTAAATCATGTATTATCAATTACGTTTTATTTTTCTAGTAAAAAAAAAAAAAAATTAAGATTTTTGAATAATAATAAAATAAATAATTTTATCATATATAATCATATTATATTTCATAATAACAAAATGCATTATATTATATTATTATAGTCGATTTATAATCATAATACTACTGATACTGTTAAAATAATATTACTTATTATCAAGGCCATATCTAGAAATTTTTTTCTGGAAGGGTTCAAAACATGTATATTGTAATTTTATTGAATTTAGATTTTTACTTTTGATATTTGGTTAAAAATAAGATAGAAAAAGATTTAATCTTCTTTTATTAAAATTGATATCATATTTTCATATGATTTTATGATATAAAATTAAAAGCAGTCAATGATTAATTGAAACTTAAGTGATTTTTGACTAAAAATATTTATGTTGGTATTAAAAATAAGTAATTATTTTTAACATTCGTCAAATACTGAAGAAATTTCGGGGGGGCAGGGTGTCTGGACCCCCCAGATATGGCCTTGCTAATTATTGTAGGTAGTTATATATTTCCTTAATTATTATAAATGCAAAGCGAAATTATTTTACTTTTATTAATGGCTCTTGTTAATTGTAAGTATTAAATTATTTATTTTTATTTTAGCTAACCTGTTTATAATTAAATTAGTCTTTATGTTATCTTGATTTCTATAAATTAATATTTTCTACAATATTGAAAAATATAAATATCACAAAATGCATTTTCATAGTGTCAAAACTAATTTTGTTCACTTTCCAGCTAAAAAAAATAAAACAAGGAATCAATGAAAAAATAAAACTATTATAGTCCAAACATATATATTCTACTGTCACTGATTTATCAAAAACTAATATCTTATTTGATCTGCACGGGCATCACCCGATTGCGTCTCGTTAATCATATCGTACCTTTTTATAGCTCAACTGCGTCCGCGATATTATTGCTAACAATATTTATCTTTATACACAGTCAGAATTCCCTCCTCATACATGGGAAGAAATGAGGAGTAGCAGTGAACAAACAACAAATGCGTGCGTAAGCTTCCATTCAAAATTTAATTCATATTTTTACACACCTCATCCGGACATATATTCCTTCTTAGACATATTAACAAAACTTGAAATAGACACAACAATTTTGATACAAACTTCCAATCATATACCTAAAAAAATTTGATCAGTCAATGAAAAAAATATTAAATTCATTGAAAAAAATATATGAAAATACAAAACTGAACAAATCTCTAGATATGATTTTGTGAAAATCATGACATTGAAAAGTTAACCAAAAAAATAGTTTAAATATTAACCCAACATTTGAAAAATTGATGTAAGCCTAAATAATTAAATAACCAAATATTTTTGGGGTGTGAACCAGTTCACCTCCTCATGGTGTACCCTGGGTAACTCTAAATTAACTGGAACGCACTTGGGCTTCGACAAAGTAGTGACCTTTTTCTCTTAGGACGCACTCTGGCGATACCTTATTCCGGACGCATTCGGAACATTAAATAAGGGACATTTGAGGACGTACTTAGGAGTTTCCCATCTGCACTACCATTGATTTTATAATATACAGATAAGCGATGGTATAGGTGTAT